TCTCTCCCTCCCTCCCTCTCTTTCTTTCTCTTTCTCTGTCTGTCTGTCTCTCTCCCTCCCTCCCTCCCTCTCTTTCTTTCTCTGTCTGTCTGTCTCTCTCTCTCTCTCTCTTTCTTTGATTCTTTCTTTGTTGTCCTTCCTGAGATGCCTTTCTATCTGCAGGTGGTGTCTGCCGCTCGCATCCTCCTGAAGAATCCTGGAAATCAAGCCGCTTATGAACATTTTGAAACCATGAAGAACCAATGGATCGATAATGTGGAAAAAATGACAGGTGAAATAAAGGGCCAGTTGGCCAGATATTATTTTACAGTGAACGTTCGTGTAGCCCTTAGTCGCGTGATTAAGCAAAGAAATATGGTCTCCTTTCTGCCTTTCGAAATTCCATCCAAACTCCATGATCCAGGATTATTATTTTTTATTAAACTAGTTTTGAGAGATTCTACCTTTTTTTTCTTCTCTGAATATAAACATAATGCACTCCTAATTTAACCACTCATTAAACCCATTAATAATGGAGGATATTATAAAATTCATGAATGTGGAAACATTCTGGTGGCAAGAAAAGATAGTTAAGACAGTAGAGCAGAGCAGAATTCTTGGTATCCCACATTTGGAGGAGTATCCCATCTTGTTTCTATTGGGCAGACTGATCAACTCAGAGGTGTCCAAGCTAGACAACTTTTAAGACTCATGGATTTCAACTTCCAGAATTCACCAGCCAGCCAAGCTGGCTGGGGAATTCTGGGAATTGAGGTTCATGAGTGTTAAAGTTGTCTAAGTTGGACATCCCTGGTCTAACCTGTTCAGCCACATGATGTGATGACCCAGGGCGTGGCACAAAGGCAACACAGTCAGAGAATAAGAATGAGTTCCTTTATTATCTCCAATTTTGCCCCCAATGTCCCAGTTATCTTCCGGTCTGGAGAAAAACACTCCCCCCAACCTGCAACAGCCTTTGGCTGCAGATATTCCAATTCAAACATTGTAAACTGAAAACTTTAAACTATAAATACAACAAGGCAAGATAAGGTAATAAATCTGGCAGGGCAAGATAAAACATAAGATAAATTCAATGTTCGTTCCCAACAACTGGCCCTCCCATCTGCCTCTCCTTTAAACACCATCCTCAGGTGTGCCTTGTGAAGGGAATCAGGGCCCTCTTCTCCCCCATAAGCCATGTTGCTCTCTTCTCCGATCTTCCGTGCATGCCCTAGGATGAAGAGGCGGTGAACCTTGGTCTTCCTCTGAACCCCCTCTCTCTTCTTCTACCTCTCCCCTGCTCTGCCCAGCCTGACTTTGCCCTTCCCCAGTTTCCTCCACAGCCAATGGAGCCATACTCCCACTCCCTGATGGCTGTTTGTCTTTCTCCTCGGATTCAGACTCTGACGGGGGCCTGACACATAATGAGTAAGGGAAGTTTGATCTGGAGCAACCCTTGGGTAACACATGTATGTAAAAGGAGGTAAATTTTTGAAATTTGCCATTCCAGGCTTAGTAGATGAAGCCATTGACACCAAATCCCTCTTGGATGCCTCCGAGGAAGCCATTAAAAAAGACCTGGACAAGTGCAAAGTGGCAATGGCCAACGTTCAGCCCCAGATGCTGGTTGCGGGGGCCACCAGCATTGCCCGGCGAGCTAACCGTATCCTGCTGGTGGCCAAGAAAGAGGTGGAAAACTCGGAAGATCCTAAATTCCGTGAAGCTATTAAAGCTGCCTCGGATGACCTGAGCAAGACCATTTCGCCAATGGTGATGGACGCGAAAGCCGTGGCAGGCAACATCTCTGACCCTGGTGAGTGTTCACTGGTGGATTCAAACAGTCTGGGTTTTGAAGCTTGTTCCTGAGGAAGTAAGTACACAATTGCTGTATTTGGGTGGCACAAAGGCAACATAGTCACTTCTTAATTATGTCCCTTTAATACCTCCAACTTTGCCCTCAATGTCCAGTTACCTTAGGCTGGAGAAAAAACTCTCCCAAGAACAGTTTTTAAATGAAGGAAATTCAGTCTGAAAACAAAGTACATATAAACTGTAAATAAAAATCCACACAAACCACACTGCAGCAATTAACTGGACAGGGCAGGAGAAGGTATTGCAGGCTTCAAAGGCCAACAAAACACACACAGTTCGGAAGATGCCAAGAACCCAGATAAACCTTGACAATACCAGATAATTCACGATTTGCTTCCAACAAATTGCTGTGCGCCGCTTCCCTTTTTAAACACTGTTTTTCCAGCTGCAGCTAATGAAGGGAATCAGGGCCCTTTCCTCCCCCGTAAGCCACACAACTCACGTTGCTCTCTTCTCTGTTCCTCCCTGCTTGCCTATGATGAAGAGGGGGTGGGCCTGGATCTTCCTCTGAATTCCCTCTGCCTTGCTCTACCTCTCCCCTGCTCTGCCCAGCCAGACTGTGCCCTTCCCCAGTTTCTTCCAACAGCCAACGGAGCCACATTTCCACTCGCTGTCAGCTGCTCGGCCTTCCCCTCGGAATCAGATTCCAACAGGGGCATGACATGCTGACAGCTTGTGAGCTCGATTGAATAGTGCAGCATAAGAAGCCACCGCCAAGTTGTGAGAGAGCTTTTTTCAAGAGTTTCTACCCATCCAATCTGATCCAATAGATTGGGCCGGCTGCAGCTCCTGTCAGCCAAAGAGTGGACTGGCGGGAACTAGAAGATGGACTTTCTCTATTCTAGCCGCTACCTGATAGAATGGTCTCCCCATGGAAATTAAATGGCCCGCTGACTCTTGTTGGCCTTTCACAAGGCTTTAAAAACTGGGCAGTGTTCCCCCAGCGCTGGTGCTTAGAATGTGCAAAGGGCTTAAGTTCCAGGGTACTTTCGCTGTTGCTTTATCCCGGTCAGCAAAAAACACTTGCACTTCTTCACAGCTCCTCCTGCACTTTCTTTTTCCGGCTGAGCGCTTCTATGTGGCGGCCATTTCTGACCGCCGCTCAGCTGCCTTCGGAAAAGGGGGTTTAGCTGGCTAGGGAAGAGAGGTGCGATATCTCTCGACCCTGCCAGGTCCCCCCTGTCTTCGCCACCTTCTACGGAGGTGGCTAGCCCTGAAGCCAGGTGGCTCAAGGCACTTGGGCAGCAAGCACAGGCAGAAACCGCGCACAGTCGCGGATTCCTGCCTGCCCCGAAGCGCTGCAGATCGGATGTCTGGATGACCGGATGATGTATTACTCCTCTTAACTATTAATGGCTCTATCATCACGGCTGTACTTACATGAAGTTTTTATCATTTTAAAGATATTCAATTATTTTAATGGGTTTTAGAAATTTAGAATTGTAAGGTGCCCAGGCTTGGTTGGGTTGGGCAGCTATAGAAATTGAATGAGTGAGTGAGTGAGTGAGTGAGTGAGTGAGTGAGTGAGTGAATGAATGAATGAGATCAGTGTAGGTCTGTTGATGTATCTCTCGTCAAATAGCTGTTTGAGTAACACAACATCCGTTGCTGGGGGCTGAAAAATGGAAAGTTGTCCTGTGCAAAAGATCAAGTCCACAGGTGAAGTTTCACTTAAATTGATTTATTGCTCAAAAGCCTACGCGTAGGCATCTTCTCAACAAACAGCATTTGCTTGGAGTTACATCAGGGTCAGTTCAAGGGAAGTTACTTTGCTTGTGGCTATGTTGGGATTCTGGACCAATCCCTCACTTAACTCCGCTCCCAGGTTCTGCCACTCCTCCTCCTACATTTAAGTTTAATAATTGCTTCATTTCTTTATCTTATCACTGTCCCTTTTCTCCTGAGTCTCTTAACTTCACTGGAGAGTTTTGTATATTTTGGATTCGGGCGGTGCCAAGTTGGTGCCCAAAGCTAGCGTTAACTGCTCGATTAAAACACTTTTTGCTACCGACACTTTAAAATAATCTCTCTTTTTTGTGTGTGTGTGCCAGGTTTGCAGAAGAATTTTCTTGATTCTGGATACAGGATACTAGGAGCTGTAGCCAAAGTCCGAGAAGCCTTCCAGCCGCAGGAGCCAGATTTCCCCCCTCCTCCTCCGGACCTCGAGCAACTCCACGTAAGGAGCCATCCGCGCTAGCTTTGTTGATGAAGGAGAGAATCCGAATCCGCAGCTATCTTGTTTAGAGCTGGGTTTTTCAAACTTGGCAACTTTTAACATGAGTGGACTTCCAGGATTGGAGAAATACTGGGTTACAGCATGTTTGTGTGTTTGTACCGCATTTTCCTGAAAATAAGACCCTGTCTTATATATATATTTTTTGCCACCAAATAAGGCACCAGGTCTTATTTTCGGGGGATGCATCCAGCGACTAATCTCACTTGCACGCATCGTCCCCAGCCTCCTTTTCACTGTCAGAGGCCTTCAGGAACTTCTTCTGCAGCTGGCAAGGCTTTTCGGAAGGCCTCTGCATCCAATAACAGAGCTCTGGATCGATCTAATGAACAAAGACTCGTTTGTGGCAGAGTTTGGGGGAGAGAAAGAAAGACTTCTGCTGCTTCTGTTGCTTTCCTTGCATGAAGCCAAAAGTCTTTCTCTTTCTCTCTCTCCCCCTGAGAACAGAGCTGGAGACGGTATCCTGCAATCCCAAATAAAGAATGATTGATCGGTAGGAAAACAGGGTGGGGAATTTTCCTGCAGACTTTTTGGGGGATTTTCCCAGGGTCTCTGCTGCTTCTGGAGCTCCGGGATGACCAAAGGGCCAGTCTTGTGCCTACTGCAACTCTGGAATATGGGACCGACTTTCCCACCAATGTCAGCAAGCCACCATCAGTCAAAATTCATATTAGTGGTCTGCGGGATTTAAAATTATGAGTTTGGTGGTCTCTGAGGTCCAAAAGATTGGTGACCCCCTGTTCTATAGGCTACCTTTGCTTCAGGATCTCCCCAGTAATTAAAAAAAAAAAAACTTTGAAGAGCCCTGGTTTAAATTGGGCTGTCTGTGATCCTCAGAGATTGATGTGAAAATGCCCTCTTGAATCCTGGGGCGGAGGGGGGATGCATGTGAAAGGTTGGCCACTAAGAGGGGCCTCCCTTGGCTCCTCCTCCTTTCCTGATATATTATGCAAGTTATCAATTCAGAAAACCCCAGTGAAGTATGAAGGAGATGCCTCTTAACGATGAGGAGATAATTGTAGACGAATGTGCACAAAGTAATTTTTTTTTTTCACTTTGCCCCTCAGCCCTTCTGAGTCATAACAAACGAGTCTTGTTGTAAACATCAACTAACAACAGGCATTACTCTGAATTTGGCAAACGGGGCCAAAAGCATTAACATGTCCCATCATGGAATTGGCTATGGATCCGGCTATTGAAACCCCAAATGCTTCTTCTTCTTCTCAGCTCACCGATGAACTTGCTCCTCCGAAGCCCCCTCTGCCTGAAGGGGAGGTTCCTCCCCCCCGCCCCCCGCCCCCTGAAGAGAAGGATGAAGAGTTCCCAGAGCAGAAGGCCGGAGAGGTGCTTAACCAACCCATGATGATGGCTGCCAGGCAGCTTCACGACGAAGCCAGAAAATGGTCCAGCAAGGTAGGTCCTTAACATCGACCTCTGGGGGTTGATGCTTCTTGGCTTAGAATGATGCCCTTTCAAGGAGGACTCTGCATTGTCGATTAGAATTCTTCTCATCCCACCATTTCCAGGACTTGTTTCCTTCTCATCTTGCTTCAGGCATGTGAACTTCGGAGTGTTTTGTGCGGTTTGGATTTTTCTGGGTTGGAAAAAAAAAAAAGAGAGAGGTCAGGCCACGAAGCAGGCAGAGAATCTCTTCTCTTTTGAAGCTTTTTTTTCTTGGAGGTGGCTGTTGAAAGGATCCCTTGGACACACTTCAATAAGGCAGGGAGCTCAATTTGAATCGAATACTCTTCTCCCCAGTGGTGGGATTCTAACAGTTTCCCTACCGGTTTGGTGATCGTGCACTTCGCACACACGCACAGCTTTCCAAACAGCAGCTGAGGTTCTGCTGCGCCCATCGGCTGAGAGGATAAAGAAAAGAAAAGGCCAGGGGTGGGCTGGAGGTCCGATCCTGCACTTTTCTCTTCTTCCTCCTCTCAGCTGGTCATTGGAGGTTTTTTTTAATTATCGGTTTGGCGGTTTGGCTAAACCGGGCCGAACCGGTAGCATTTCACCACTGCTCCTTTATGTATCCTAGAAATGATGGAGTCTCGCTTCCATTTTGCTTTGGGGTGTGTGTTTCTGAAGGCTCTCTCTTTAAATATATTTTACTTATTCACAATGCTTGTAGGTCGCCTCAGTTATAAGACTCCAGGCAGTGTCCCGCAGGAGAAGCACGTGGAACAAAATAAAACGATCATGCTTTACTTGTTTTGCAAAGAGCTAGAAAGGAGCTAGTTATACGAACCACGGAAACTTCTTCTGGCTGTGTTTTTGTATATTACCCCAAGGCACTGAAATGCTACCATAAAATACAGCATTGCATTAGGACGTTTTGGAAAAAAAAAAATAAGAAGGTCTCAGTGAAGCACAGAAAAGTGGGATTACAATCAACTATGCTAAGAGAAAAAGAAGTCTTCTGTATGCATACATTATGCATGCAAAACGCTAAACTTTTAAAAAGCCTTCTCTTTTTTTCCCTTAGATACAGAAAAGGCTCCATCCAGAACTAGCTTTCAGAGAGGCTTCTGAAGGTGTTTTAGTTCCTCCTTCATGTTTTGACTCCCAAGTACTCTCATATTCTTATGGATTGCTAAAAGTGGTTGGCCAGAAGGGGAAAAATAAACCAGCAATTGAGATGCTTGGTTTCTGTGCCGTTCTAGACACCATTTATACAGTTTGATTATGCAATTTTCCCTGTGCAATGGGGAATGGGCCCCCTGATGCCTGAGACCAGAAGGAAATAGTCCTTTTTTTTTTCTAGGTAGCCTGGTCTTCTTGTTTTATTGCATAGTAGAAAGTTGCAGGGAGCTGCAGAGAGGAAGGATAAAAACCACAGTTGTAGATCTGTGTCTGTGTGAGAGAGAGAGAGAGTGTGTGTGTGTGTGTGTAAAAAGAGTTGGTAGAACATGGATGGAGATATGCTAGTAGGACAGATAAAGGAAAATAATGAAAGACTCCAGTGGGGCTAGTATTGCCTGTCTAGGAAAAAATGGAGAACTGGAACAGGGCAAAATTATTTTGTCTGGCTTTTGAGTTTCCACACCCCTCCCAAGGTGAGATGCATCCCACAATGTGTGTCTGTAAGATTTAATGAGTCTCCCTCTTTTTTAAAAGTGGCAAGTCTACAAGAAGATGAGATGTTTGTGGATGTATATAACCTAGCAGATGTTAATATTTTAAGTTACTGAAATGAAATATGGGATTTGTTCTTAGAATAATCTGAACAAAGTTTTCATCTTCTCTCCTTTTCTTTTCCTTCCCCAGTCGGCCTGTAATGTACCTAAGCTTCATCGGTTTCTCAAAACAATATTATTTATCCTAAACGAGCATTCAATATGTACCTGGTTTTTCTCTGAATTCAGAAAATCATATCGTTTCTTATTTTAGACCCTATTTTCTTTCTCAAATCTTGTGTTGATGGAGAAGGCATAGAAATTGGGGACAACCTAAGAATTAACATAAAGTGGCCAGAATAATAAACTAGATGTCATTTGCAAGTATGATAATCCATTTTGTTTATTCATTCATTGTCTACATTGTTGTCAAACTATAAATGATCACTTTCACCCCTTTTCTTATAAAGGACTACTTTATTAAACACAGGCTTTGATTTTAGAAACTTAGAGCAGAATCTCTTCGTAACAATTAAAAATTGATTTTCTGAAATATTACGGGAATATTTCCTGCTGATGAAATTCAGTAGCATGTAAAACAAGGGGAGTCTAATGCACAGTTGCCTACTTTATAAGACAAATGGGACAATCCAGAGTGGTTTTTTGTTTGCTTTGGATAAAACGAATGGGTTTGACTTCTGAGTCTTTGCAAAGCTGTTGTTCTGATATATTTCTCTGAAATTTGTTGGGTTCCAAATGGTGCTGCTATACCAAAAGGTTAGGGAAAAATGATTTAGAGTGTTGAATTCAGCAATGGACATATCTTCCTCAATTTATATTGATCTCTGCAACTAGGGCGTTTATCCTAATTATGTGTTTGAAAATCTTGGTTATTGAAAGGGGACAATTAATTTCACTATTTGCGAAAATTCTGTTCCTGGATTGTTGCACAAAAATAGAATTTTTGTGAGTTGGGTTAGCCAGTTGATACGCCTAATGAACATGTCCAGGAAGTGCATCATCATTATTTATGATCATTTCTTCAATCTGGTACAGAAATTTATCACCTGGGATTATTATCTTTGTAAATTACATTCTGCCCCAAAAGTAAAACACTATGAGGTTTGTTTTTAAAAAAAATGAGCTTAAAAACAGCTAAAGGCTTTGCACCATTTTATTTTTAAAAAATTGCAAAATGAAATGCCTTTATGAAGATGTAGATTGTTACTAAGATTTGTCCAATCTGAATGAATGAAAAGATCCATCTTTCCCTCAAGGCAGATTGTGGGAGATGCTACTTCTGTCTTTTAATTTTGCTCTAGACCCACGCTGAAAAATCTTGAGCAATTTCTGGAATTCTGGATGAGGCTTCCAATCTGTCCACATGTAGTGCGAAATTTGAAATTTAAGGTTGCCTGTGACTCTTGCAAGTATTTTTGAAATTGGATTGGTTTTGTAATTTTAAAGACACCCACCTGATACTTTGAGAGATTGAATTTAGAGTTAAGTTTTCTCTTGAGTGCCTATTTTTAAAAGTTAAGTAGGCAAAAGTTGCTACTTTTGCAGTACCAACACAGATTTAAATTGTGTTTAAAATTAATATGTCACATTGATTAGCTCTGACAACCTTTCAACAGTAAATCAAGCTATCATGAAAAAAGAGGTCAACTTAAAATAATGTTCAGAACTGTGGTGAGAAATTCACTGATTCATATTTCTGGTTTTTCTCATAGTGTCAATTACCATTTTCTCCCCTTAGTAAACCTTTGTAAATTGGATAAGTCTGCATTGAACAACATATTGCTGTCCTTTTCTTTAACCCTTTCAAATCTTACTCTTATTGCTCTGGTTAATGATCATAATAAAGATTGGATTGAAAAAAAAACCCTAATTTGACCTTTGCTAGAATCTAAATGTATACACACAACTTTTTGACCTCTTTTTCTATTGGTCATCTTCAGACAGCATAAACCTGTAGAAAAATATAGTTCATGATTGCTCAGAAGTCTTGACAGGACAACAGAGGTAGCAAGTAATTCTGGATAGATACCTTTTAGTGATTATATACTGTATTACTTAATCTCTTGGAACTATGGTTTCATGGGTCATTGAACATTAATGACCCAAGTAAATAGATATTCTATATATTTAGCAGCCGTGTGTCTTTTTTTGAAGACAATTCTTTTCTACCTACCTTACTGACTCCCGAATATATAGTTGGAAGAACAGAGAAAGGGAGTTTGGAAATAAACTTTCCAGAATTCTTGATTTAATCATTCCTTTTATTCTCCCCCCCCCCCCCCCAAAAAAACATGTCAGATTGACCCCAAGATAAGAACAAGGCATGGTGCAGCCCGCTGAAATTTCAGTTTACAAACGTAACATTTTGCTAATCAAGAAACTCAAAAGATTGAACCCCAAAGGGATCACATTTATTTTGGGAGTCTGCTAATATAATTGCACGTAGAAGTAGCAGCTTTATCTTTCAGAAGGGCAAATAATTTAGCAGTCAGAACCGTGGGTGAAATAAGGGTCATCAGGAAGATAGCGAGTGACTGAATGACAGCAAGAATATGGTTGTATTTCAGGCCCCTGAAAACAGTAAATTTTGCCTTGTCTTTATCCCTTCCTTCCTGCCTTTTGTTCTGTGATGAACTATCACTGCGATGGTTGCTACAATAATACTGGGCTGTTTTGTTTTTAGGTACTTTGGGATGTGATTTGGGATACCGAAGCCAAAAAAAATAAATATTAAATCTCTTTTTCGGATATTGTAGAACAACATTGTGGCAAAACAATCTTGCTCCATGTCATTAATCTTGCTCCACTAACAGAAACTTTCTGGTTTGCTCTGACACATTGTGTTACTAACACCACTTTCTGTCAGGTAATAGTGAACCCTGATTAATGTCCTTTAATGCTCTTTTTCTCATGGGGTTGGGGGGGGGGGGGGAGGCACGAGATGTTGGCCGTTCTTTCCTCCTTCCATCATGCTTTGCTCTTCATTGTTGTCTTCTCCATGGCTGGGTCAGGACATGGGGGTGTGTGTTGGGGTGAGAATGCCCATGTTCAGTCAGCCCTGAACTCCTCTGGGCTGCAGGACAGCAGTGAACATGGTGCTCTGTCTATCAGCAACCTCACCTAACCCTGGCTCTAAAAAGAGATGTTTAGATTGAGCAAGCATGGAAGCGGTTGTGCAGCTTGCCTTCATTTTAACAAAGAACAGTGCATCCAGTTTTGATGACCACACTATAAAAAGATGTTGAGACTCTAGAAAGAGTGCAGAGAAGAAACAACCAAGACGATTAGGGGACTGGAGGCTAAAACATATGAACAACAGTTGCAGGAACTGGGCCTGGCTAATCTAGTGAAGAGAAGGACCAGGGGAGACAGGATAGCAGTCTTCCAATATTTGAGGGGCTGCCACAGAGACAAGGGGGTCAAGCTATTTTCCAAAGCACCCGAAGGCCAGACAAGGAACAACGGATGGAAACTGAACAAGGAGAGATTCAACTTGGAAATAAGGAGGAATTTTCTGACAGTGAGAACAATCAACCGATGGAACAGAAGTCGCCTTCAGAGGTTGTGGGAGCTTCATCACTGGAGGCTTCCAAGAAGAGATTGATGACTGCCATCTGTCAGAAATGGTGTAGGGTCTCCTGCTTGAGCTATGAGTTGGACTAGATGACCTACAAGGTCCCTTCCAATGCTGTTCATCTAATCTAAGAGGGGTTTGGGCAGGAGGAAGTTGTAGTGAATTTGGCCTCCTGGCTCAAAGCTGCCCCTTTTCTTCACAAGGGCCATCCTTCATAGCCCCCTATGCTTGGCTGAGGCCCCATAGCAGTTGTGTCTCCCATGATGTGGGCCTGGTGTATCTCTCCTATCCATGTCATCTGCGTTCACCTCTCTGTCCGCTTTTAAGTGTTTGTGTCTCCGTCAGTGGCATTATTGTCTTGCCAGGAAGAAATGTTGTGGTGAAAGATAAAGACCATTAACAGAGGAGAAAAGGTGAAAAACCTAAATGCCTCTCGGAGACGTTTTCTAGTTTTTCAGACAATTCCCTTTGTCAACTTCCCCATTCCTCCGCCGTCCTTCCATCTCCCCCTAATCCCCCAAGAGGGGTTTCCTAAACTTGCCTCGCTTTCTTGGCTTCTTTGAACCAGATCCTGCATCTTATACTAACTCTCCCTGTTTCTTCACCTTCCCTGTTCCACCACCGGCCAAGCCCGAAGTGACCGGTGGGGGTAAGGAAGCCCCCGCTGAGACTGGCCCAGGTGTAGCTCGGGAGGAGGCGGAGGAGGAAGTAGAAGCTGAATTCACCCTCCCCTCCGACATGGAAGATGATTACGAGCCTGAGTTGTTACTCATGCCAACCAACCAGCTTGTTAACCAGCCCATTCTGGCCGCGGCTCAGTCACTGCACCGGGAAGCAACCAAGTGGTCCAGTAAGGTATTTCCTCTGTTTCCTGGCGACTGATCCGCATTGCATCCGGCCATTTTGACATGTGCATCACTCTTGATCCTCGGCGGATCCCATGCCATAATTTTTTTTTTCATGGTTTATTTTTCTTTTCTTAATCGGAATGGATTCAAGTTTGTCTGCATTTCATGGTTGGGGAGGGCCGCGTGGCTTCACAAGTGTTGTTAAGCGTGCTTGATGGCCAGGCCAAAAGCTTCATTCAAAAGCTCACCCTCTCCTTCGTTTGCCTTACCTGCCCTTCTCATGTTGGAGGGGTTTACTTAAACGAGAACCAAAGGAAGGAGTGCCTGACTACCTGTGAAGCCATCATTGGTGGCCTTTCTGGAGACTTCCAGACGAGCGAGGGGTTGTCACTCCCGAAGTCATTTTAACACGCATCGTTGTGCTTTCTGCCTCTTGGTCAACGGCTTCTACTAAACCTTTGCTCCAGCAAGGAATGGCTTGGAATGGCACCTTTGCCAAAGAGCTGGTCCTGTGGGCAGAGGCTGTGATGGAGGGGAGGGGTATTTTTTGGGGGGGAAGGGGGGAATGAAGAGGCTCTGCTGAATGTCTTTTAAGTTGCTATGTTCAGACTTTGGCCTCTGGTGTTTCAGCTGCATTATTAATGGAGATGTGGGGTCTGTGGCTTATGACGGGAATGGTCTGCTGGCACTAAGCACCCAGAGGAGTTTGCCAAGCTGCTGGATTATTATTATTATTATTATTCACTTCCTTAAGAGTAGCATGCTGCAAAGAATAAATGTATGGCTGGGCAGCTCTGAAGATGTGGTGTATGTATGTATATATATCTATATATCTATGGAAAATTAAGTTTCTCTCTTCCTTTTTCTTTCTTTTCGCACTCGTGAATGGCCAACTGGGTGAATGGCATGAAATCCAAATGGCATCTCCCACGCGTGGGTAATGATGGAGTGTAATCCAGCCTAATCCCCTTTGGTCCAGGGGAAGCTTAGCTGAAATGAATGGGGGAAGTTTGGCTTTTGCAGGAGAACCACCTACAAGGGCTTTTCTTGCCCCCTCTCTGAACGTCATTTGGGCAAAGCAGGTGCCACCCTTTGCCTCTTGTAGCAATGGCCTCCCACGGACCTGGCAGTCTTTGTGTTTTGGTTCTCCTCCCCGACCATCCGGGGGTGGGTGGGCATGGCTTTTCTTGGTTGGGAGTTGGCCCCATGGCACACGGACTGGCTTAAGTTGCACCTGCAGAAAAGAACAAACCATGTTTTCCATCCCCGGCTTGTACTTGTGCATTGACTACATTGCATTTGTTTCATTGTGTACCCGTAATGTGTTAATGGATGTACCGCCAGGGGAGCTTTTCGGAATGTTGCATCTGTGCAGAGTAATCGGGACATGTAAAAAAAAAGGATGGAAGCACATCTGGAGAGTTCCCAAGTTTCTTGTCTCCCGAACCGAACCGAACCGCACCTCACACAATCACAATATTTTGCATGCCAAAGATGGGATGGGGACACCTTCTGCTTTTTCTACTTGCATTGTGTTTACTTCCAACACATTCACTCATCTGTCTGCTCACAAATACGGCATCCTTTCTTCCAACCTAAGAACCAGGCTGAGCTGAATATTCTTACAGACATTTTCATTTGAATGGCAATCCTGACAACAGGTAGTTTATGCACAAAATAATGGTGTCAGGATTCTGGCAGTTACTCCAATTAAATCACGAGCCACACTCCCAAAACTAAAGAGGATTTCTTTGAAATTAACATTTTACGTCTGGCACTAACCTGGGCGTAGCCAACTCTGAGATACATAATTCACTGTCACCCTTGATCCTGCTTTTCCCCTCACCCCTCTGGGCGTATCATCCAACAAAACACGTCCATAGCCAAGAGTCATCCATCATGCTCTCCAATTAGATTTTTGCTTGGCAGAAGCTTCGGTCATCTAATCAGTCTTTGAAGAAAATATGAATGGAATGTACTTTCGATTCCACACTGCCACCTGCTCTTTGAAACTCTCCCCCGTCTTTTTGTTGTCAACTATAAAATGTGTATTCAAAATGTTTTATGAGTTGACAGATGCCTGATCGTGGTTGGATTGAACATTGAAAGCTTCACGCTGTTCTAATGTCATGATGAAGCTTGGTTTAGCACACCAAAGTAACAGAAAAGTCATGCAACTGTGAGGGCGGGGAAGTTTTCACTTCCTTTTTATTAAGTAATCACAGTTTCTGATTTTGTCTGAATGTAGCAGCAAACTATAATTAATTGTAACAGTGACTCAAAAACAAAGAGTTGGGTTTTTTAAGGCATTTAAATATGGATTAGTGACTTTCCTAATTCCCCGCCCAAAGAGGAAAATAGTTCATTTTGTCAAAGAAGAACTGGTAATTCTTTGAGTTATACATTGAAAGAAATTTTAGGCAACCGGTTAACCAATTAATGGATGAATTCTGGATATGCTTATATAGAGGAACAGAGTAAGCATTCACATGATGTTTTATATCTGATGATTAATAGCATCTTCTTGCTTTTTTGACTGAAGGGAAAAAAAATCCCTTCTGCAGATGCATTTTAAATTTAGTTGATCAAAAGGCTTAAATCATTATCTTTTTAATGACCCCATGATCCCTTGTGGGGTGGAGTGTGGGCAACTGAATAAAAAGCAGAGTGTTTCATGGCCGGATGCCTTTCCTGTTGCTGATGCGGAGTTTTGTTCAGCAGATGTATTCTCACACTGTGCCCAGAGAGAGAGAGAAATATCTGCCTGTATCTAGGATCGAACCCACAACCTCCTGATTGTGAGGCGAGAGCTGCACCTCTCGGCCACCGCACACCACCCAATGAAAAGGCTTAAATAATGGAGCCTTTTCCGGGTGGTTTTTCCCCATTCAGAATATTCAGTTCCCACCATTGACTTCAGATTGACCCTGTAACTTTTATTTTTTATTCACCCATTAAGAATATTCACCATCACCACAACACCATCGTTTAAGACATTCCTTTGGCCGCCTTATTTGAAATGATTCCTCACTGACAGTTAAACATCAGAACTTGGTCATTTTCACTTCAGCAACACTACTAACATGTACGTGTGTGTGTGTGTGTGTGTGTGTGTGTGCGTGTGTGTGTGTGTGTGTGTCCACTCCCTCACCTCTTGGCTGAAGCTTGTGGTCACTGAAGATTGGGAGAGAGTTTCACACGCGGCTTTTGTGTTACGGTCCCGTTTTTGTTGTTGTTGTCGTTTGTTGTTGTAAAGCGGCAACCGCACAGCTCCAGCATGTGGCTGTCGTTCGGGGCGCCTGGGGCAATCACAGCTGCTCTCCTTTTCTTCCTCCTCCTCTAGGGGAACGACATCATTGCCGCTGCCAAGCGCATGGCCTTGCTGATGGCCGAGATGTCCCGCTTGGTGAGAGGGGGAAGCGGGAACAAGCGCGCACTCATCCAGTGCGCGAAAGATATCGCCAAGGCTTCTGACGAGGTGACCCGTCTGGCTAAAGAGGTGGCCAAACAGTGCACAGACAAGAGGATCCGAACAAACCTTCTGCAGGTAGGCCACGAAACCTGGCTTGGAAGGCGGAGAACGTCTCTTGAACTGGGAAGGTCCTATCCGTGGTTGGGTAAATGCACCGGTAAGACTAAAAGAGCCTCGGTGGTGCAGTGGTGAGAGTGCAGTACTGCAGGCTACTTCTGCTGACTGCCAGCTGCTTGCAATTTGGCAGATCGAATCCCACCAGGCTCAAGGTTGACTTAGCCTTCCGTCCTTATGAGGTGGGTCAAATGAGGACTCAGATTGTGGGAGGCAATACGCTGACTCTGTAAACCACTTAGAGAGGGCTGTGAAAAGCACAGTGAAGCGGGATATAAGTCTAAGTGCTATTGCTAAAAGCCTACAGCCAAAGCAAGGTGTATCTAGCCAAAATCAATGCTCAGGATTCACCCCTTTGCCATTTTTTAAAAAAAATCATGCTTGCCCCTTTGGAGTGGCCAGATTGGCAAGCTGAAATGAAAATGGCAATGCCAGTACCAAGAGGTCTCAAGGGGGCCCTAAACCTGTTGCTTTGTTTAGCCAGCTTGTATCTCAACCAGCCTTTTCAGTTATCTCCCTCCCAGCCTTAAGTTTTATTTATTTATTTTACAGGGGTCTTCAAACTTGACAGCTTTAAGATTTGTTGACTTCAACTCCCAGAATCCCTCCTTCAGTCATGTTAGCTCAGGAATTCTGGGAGTTGAAATCCACAAGTCTTCAAGCTGTCAAGTTTGAAGATCCTTGAGATAGATAGATAGATAGATAGATAGATAGATAGATAGATAGATAGATAGATAGATAGAGATGGATGCTATATAAATAGACAGCTTTAAGACTTGTGGACTGCAACTCCCAGAATTCTTCCTCCAATCATGTTAGCTCAGGAATTCTGGGAGTTGAAGTCCACAAGTCTTAAACTTGCCAAGTTTGAAGACCCTTAATTTAGTGTATGGAAAATACATGGGCTTATAGTAGATCAAATGTTAATGTTTAATCCACCCAGCCATTCAAGGACAGGGTGGTCTATGTTGAAAAGGCTGGTGTAAGCTCTTGATGGACGTTTGGACACAATATGGTGGATATTTCATCAAGGAGCACCCCAGTCACACTGAGGGGTAGAGACAAGACTCCACTTAAAAAAGGAGTCCTGGCAGACACCATGTTGGGTAGGGATCCTGTTCAGAGTTGACCAATGCTGGCGAGGAAGGTCAAACGTGGCACTTTTTGTGTAGGGTCATCTATGTAACGGCCTGTAATCTGGGCATTCAGCAACCCATTCGGCTTTCCACTGTGTGTTGATGTCAACTTTGTTAAGACGGCTGTTGAGCGAGTTGTCAATTTTGTTGTACTCCTTCACTAAGGCTTCCTGCCTTCGTAAGGTGGTGAAACGTGGCTCACGACGGGGAGCCATTTTGTCTGTCTGTTGCATTGTATTTGGAGAGCCAGGAGTTCTACAAAGATGTCTGACTGCCAACTGTCATTAACTGCCAAGTCTTCAATCTAGTCTGGCTGCCAATTGTTGCTAGTCATTTGGTTCGTACTTCCGTGCTATCCAGGTTGCCCCACGAGGCGGCGAACTAGCATCACATCCCAGTCTAAATGATCTCAGCTTCACTGCTGTAAATGAGTGTCATTCAGGGTAGTGCTTCAAACTTGGCTATTTTAAGATATGTGGACTTCAATTCCCAGAATTCCCTGGCATCTTTTTGAAGTTCATACATCCTCTAAAGTTGCCATATTGAGGGGGGGGGGGAGACTGATGTAAAATGATGCTCTGAACAGAGAAATCCTCTTCAAGAATTTTCAAGGAATTAGGCCAGCCATATGTTTTCCACTGCCGGAAAGAGATTGGACCTATTTTTAAAAATTCTTCGTTCAAGAATGCTAGTAATGTAGGGTTATTTTTAAATGCAGACCACCTGAGTGAAAAGCAATGTAGAATTTTGTTGTTTTTAAGAATAGCCCGGGTGATAAATGAAATAACCATGGTGTAACTCTTGTATTGGTACAGGTTTGTGAACGAATCCCAACCATCAGTACTCAGCTGAAAATCCTGTCCACTGTCAAAGCGACCATGTTGGGGCGGACCAGTATCAGCGATGAGGAATCTGAGCAGGTCAGTTCCCTTCTTCCAGGCAGAGAGGGGTGTTTAGCTTGAACTGGGAGGTGTTGGGGATGAGGCAAGCAGTATTGCTGTCTTGTAAAAAAACACCTGTTGTTCTGACCCAGGTCCCTAAACACGACAAACCCTCTGAAGTGAACTCAAAGATTCCTTTATTAGGAGCGCCAGCAGCCCTGGCAAAACGTTTCTCTCTCACCGCAGGCTAACAAGTCTGTCCGGCTGGAAGATGAATAGTTTGTCTGCCACACCTATTCATCTCTGCCCACTGCCTTTTATCCCCAGAGCTAGGGTGGGGCTTTGCTAGCAGGAGTGGATCTTCCGTCCCAAGGACCGGCCCATAGATTTCCATTGCTCTCCTCTCCTCTGCCTTCTGCGCATCCTTGTGTCAGGCACTGCACCCAGCTGTTCCTCCTCTTCCTCATCAGCCACCTCCAGACCTGGGGGCTGTTGACTCTCCATCTGAGGGCTGGGCCCCCAGTCTCTCTCTCTCTCCCCCTCCCTCCCTCCCTCCCTCCCTCTCTCCATCTCTCCCTCTCCCTTCCTCTCCCTCTCTCTCTCAGGTTATCTTGATGCGGACCCTGACTCCCACACCTCCTCCTCCTCCTTTGATTTAGCTGCTGGAGGGGTTGGCAGCTGACAGGCCACAACACGTGTTGTGAAATGTTCAATTAGCAGCAGGCTCAGTCACCAACCCTCCTGATTCTTTCTCTTCTAAGTGCAAAAGCCAGCCTTGTTTCCTATAATTGTGTACCTATTTATTTTTCAAATATACAGGTAATGCTTGACTTATGACCACTGGTTTTTTGTGACATTCGCAGTTAGAACAGCACTAAATAAAAACACAATATCACGACTTATTTTTCAAACTTCTCACTGTGGCCACATTCCAATGGTTACGTGATCACCATTCAAACGCTTGGCAACTGACTCATATGTATGACGGCTGCAGTGTCCGGGGTGTGTGTGTGTCATGTGATTGCCGTTTGCGACCTTCTGGCAAGCAAAGTCAATTGGGAAGCCAGATTCACTTAACGACCATGTTACTAATTTAACAACTGCAGCGATTCACGTTACAACTGTGGCAAGAACAGTTGTAACCATGGGGCAAAACTCACTTAATATCTTAATATCTTAATTAGCAATGCAGGTTTTGGCCTCAATTTTGGCATCTACATCAAGGATTACCTGTACCATGAAAAGGCAGGAATGTCAGTAATAAAACTGATGAAACGTTTACCATAGGAGCAAGGATGGAAGATAAATGGCTTTTGGGGGGGGGGTCTTTTTTGGCTGTGTTTGATAGTTACAGTCAAATCTGGTTTACAATAATAATAATTAAAAAAGCAGCCCCTTTTCCAAGGATGATCAATGCCTTTGTTCTGAATTTAAATGGATTCAGCAGCCCCATCTGGTGGGTAGCCCCCCCCCCTGCAAAATCAAATTCTTTAGAAAGGGGAAGTGGGCTGAAATATTAAATTCTCCAGATTTGGTGTCCGATATAGAAACCTGATAATAAACCCCATCCTTCCTTATCATGAATTCTCTCAAGATTTCATTTTTAAACTGCCTTGACTTTAAATACGCAGCTTCAGTTCCAGCACACAGGAGATAGTAGTTCTGCCTATCAGCCTCTCTCTCTCTCTCTCCTCCCCTCCCTCCCTCCCTATCTCTCCAACTTTGACATGTGGACTTCAACTCCCAGAATTCCCCACCAGCCTTGCTCGGAGTTGACATGCACACGCCATAAAGTTGCCACGCTTGAGAAAGTGCTCTAAACAACTTGTCTTTTCTAAAATTGGTTGTCAAATGATTTTCCCCTCCAGGCCACCGAGATGTTGGTCCACAATGCCCAGAACCTCATGCAATCCGTCAAGGAAACTGTCCGAGAAGCCGAAGCAGCGTCTATTAAGATCCGGACGGATGCTGGATTCACCTTACGATGGGTCAGGAAGACCCCGTGGTACCAGTAAAAGGCCTGCTCCCCTCCCCAAGCGTGTTTTTTTTTTCCTACGAGAAACCTCTCTTCTGCAGACCACCTGAAGGTGCTGCCAAGGTTGACACCGGGGACTTCAGAAACCCCCACCTTGAGGGTTGGTTTTTTTAAAAAAGTAATGCGCTGGGCTGCTTTGGGTATCTAATCTCACTTTAGCTCGTCTCCAGACTTTTCCCTTCTCTTGGCTTTTGATTTTTCTTTTAAATTTTTTTAGAAACACTATTTCAACCCCGGGTCTTCCCTCCTCTACCTCTGTCACAATTGTGTGGTTTGTTTGTTTTCCTCTATGCAACGCACCAAGGGTTTTGTTGAAGCATAATCTGAAACTTTGGGCCATCTTCGTTGGCTTAGTTGTTCATTGTGAGGGACAATCAGGAAACCAATAGTTCAGATTATCAGTTCGCTGCTTTTACGTTTATTTTTTGTATGTGTGAGAAGACGCTAAATTTAATTTTATCCTGGGAAAAGCACCTTTCTTTTGGTAGAAGGGAGTGAGTTTAGCAAATCAAAAGTTGCCGCCCCCTCCCCCCCCCATGGCAATCTCTAAACAAGGCTTTGTGGAATAATTTTCCACAGCTACCAAGTTTCATCAGCACAAAAAACTCCTATGCCAGAGACAGAGATCGTTTCTATAGTAGCCAACTAGAGAAATGCACTCAAACACTGGAGGCTTTCAAGAAGAGACTGGACTGCCATCTGTCAGAAATGGTGTAGGGTCTCCTGCTTGGGCAGGGGGTTGGACTAGATGACCTACAAGGTCCCTTCCAACTCTGTTAATCTAAAAGTGATCAGTTTAGGATTTTCTGAATAGTTAGGCTTCTTACCACCAAAATTTGATTTGACCGTATAAAGGATTTCTCTCTTTTGCTAAACCAGAGGAGAAGCGTGGAGGTACAATAGTTAAAATTCAGTGGATTTCAGAAATAATCCACTTTGGACTTTATGAAGCACTAGCAAATCCAGCTGCTATTGTTTGGATCTGCTTCTGTATGAATGGCTTGTGCATTCACCCAGAAAACACTGCGGATTTGGGGATGTAGCCCTTGGCATTGATGACAGGGTTGGGTGGCACATGTTTACCGATTCACTTTTCTTACACCACCTTAGTGTTCGCCTTCTCTTCCTTGGTGTAGTTCAAAACTAAATTTGAAGGGATTGCCTTTTCACGCCTTCTCTTCAAATGCCAAGATCCAGAAAAGCAGATTTCTCACTCTTTCCTGGCTACAAGGTACTCACAACAATTGCCATTTTGGATCTTGGCTGCCAGGGTTAGGGTTGCTTTACCCTGCCTTGCCTTGCCTTTTCAGTCTGCGTGAACTCAGTAGGAAGAGAGGATTTTAAATGGCCTTCCTGGCACCTTTGGCGAGAGGCTCGTAGCTCAGCCTTTCAAGCGTGAGAGCTTCTTAAATCACTACCGTTTAATAGCTTGACTTTGTATTAATGCAATATTATTAATGCCTTTTGATTACATAAATTTATACCAAAGATTTAGCTTTTGTTAAGGGATGTTTAAAGGAAAGTTTTGAATTGTATTTGACTTGGGAGGGTCCTTCAGAATGTTTACTAAACCTTTGTAAATGTTTAATATCCTCTACTACACCTTATGCAATTGTGCTTTCCTAAATACTCCTGTCCATCAAATTGAATGTCAGGAGCATTTTGCCACTACTTTCCTTTGTAAACCAGAATGATGTTGTATATGCTAATATTTTTGACTTTCTCTGTTCTGGTCAAATAAAATGAAAACGCATTTCTATAAAATACTTCCAGTGGATTAATTTTTTTATGACAGTACTTTTAAACAGATCCAGACTAACTTTTCATGATCTTATCTGTAGAACTTGGCAATAAATGATGATAAGAGGACTATTTGCATTTCCCTTGAGGGAATTAAAATAATTATAAATACATGATTCTCTCTGCCATTACAATAAGAAATAAAGGTATATTTACCCCACAGAACAATGCACCTAACATGTCACAATTGACATGCTATTTGTTTTGGAATATGAATTTTTACAATTATGTGTGAGAACTAGATTCATCTTCTCTGCTAGCACAGGACTGTCTCAGATGCAAATGTGGATTGTGTCAGAAATACAAAGCAAAAGGCGAAATTGGTTTTCTCTATAACTTATTTCAAGTCCCCATTTAACTATGGAACTTGGGAAGCTTTGGGTTTCTGTCCAGTCAAGGTTGCTGTGGAGACACAATGACCTCACAAAGAATGATATGAAGACAATCAATAAGAGCATTTCTTTATAACCGTGTGATTTTTTAAAAAAATAAACAAATAATTTGGTTCTGCAATGAGCACTGCCCTTCCCTTCATCGCTTGGGTTATATTTCACCCAGATTCTTCCCTGCAACTGATCTGAAAAGGGAGGTAATGATGTTACGATCATCAACATTTTAAAACGAATGCAGAAATCCCACCTCTCTCTCTCTCCCTCTCTTGGGCCACTTGGCAGAGTCTGAAAATTAAGTTGTCCAAGGGACGTTGGTACAGCTGTGTTCCCTTTTATTTCATCAGAAACAAGCAGCACCACCTCAGAGGCGCTACCTGGGGAGGTGTGAAGGGCACAAACAATCAAAGATGCGAAGTTTTGACATCTGTAATACAGAGGTAATTGGAACAAATCAGGCTCTGTATCCCATTCATTCATTTTTCAAAGCAAATTGTGAGGGGAGGGGGAAATCTTAATATTGGCTACAGATTGTCTGCTGAATTCTCGAGATGATAATAAGGCAGTTCTGACTAAAAAGGCAGGGTGGTGTAAATCCTGCAGAAAAAGGCATTTTGTTTTTGTTTTGTTCCAGTAAAAAGTCTTTTGCAAAAGAGGGTTAGGGTAAGGTAGGGCTTTCTCAAGAGTTCTCTTTTTCAGAAACGGCTTGCAATAATGCCGTTTCTTTCTCCGCTTCAGATTGGGCTTCCTTTCTGTCCAAGCCAGGCTCTTCCTTCTTGTGCTTTGATGGTTTGCGTGGCAGTGTTTCAGGAATAGCTGGTTCAAAGGACAGCCCAGGTGGTCAAGCCGGAATCCACAAAGTCCACCAGAACAACCAACCCTACTTAACGGAGCATTTCTCTTGGAAAGCCACGTAAGGAAAAAAAAAGACCAACTTAAACTATTACTACATGTGGAAATCAGGACTGTGTGGAATGGATATATATTCAGAGGAATGGCTGGATTTGGCATTTAAGAGGAATTTAAGTAACTAATGCTCATTTTTCTCCAAGGCCGACACACACACACATACATACACACAACTATCTGCCAGAAAAGGCAGAGTTCTTCAGCTTCATGTGCGTACTTGAAACTTCCCTGCCTTTGTGAGGTACTTCACACCTTTAAAAGGTTTGTATTTTTCTCCATACATGTCAAGGCGGTTTACTTTCAATCCTGAAATAAATAATGAACACATAGATCAGAATAGTGTATTTCAGGAAACTATGGAAGAATTATAAGCATGGAGTGAAGCTAAGTTATTTTAGTTCTCCAACCAGTTCTCTGGATGGAGAATGCAGCAGTATTTTCCCAGTGAAGGTTAAGCTGGCTCATCTATCTTAAGCAGCCACAAAATACTGACTGCAAGATCCGAAAAGAAAAGGAAAACCTATCATACTGGAAAACTTCAGACCTCAAGGGAGACCAAGGCTCCCAGGACACTGAGAATATCAAGAGGATACTGAGAATATCAAGTTTAATATCAAGGAGGACCATCAATGCCTACTCAGTGCATGGGTCTGCGTTAAAGCAACCCAGGCTGCTGATGGCTGTCCTCATTTCTCCTCAAACTTATCCAAGAAGGGCAAATCCACCATCACATCCAGAGAACTCTATAGGGGTGGGCCTACTACAGCATTCTGTTTCAGGTCCCACGTGAATGAAATATCAGCAATAGACAAAAAATATATATAAGGATTTGTGTTTGTAATGGGTGGAGAAATTCATCTATGTACAGTATCAAAGCATTATGCATGTAAGGAACAGCTGGGTTGAAAGCTAGGGTTGTTGTGAATTTCCTCAGTTAATTTACGGTTTTCAGAATAGCTCTGGAATTTGGTATGTTTGCATTATATAATCATATTTACTATGTTAAATCAGCCACTATAAAATTTATATCAAAGTCCTTCTATGCTGAGTGGGAAGCTTGCCTTACCAGAAATAGCCAATTGTTGGATCTTGAATTGAATATTCAAACTTGGGTTTTCCTCTGGCTTTGGAGCTCCAGACTGTAAATTCACCATCCCTTTCAGAGTAGGCAGCTTCTGAGGGATGATTTTGCCAACATCCCATGTTAACACCTAAATAATCATCAAAAATAAAATAAAAAATAAAGTGGTTTTTAAAAGCATGGTCATATTACCCTGTACTGTGTGTTCCAAGTCCTAACAGCAATGTTATGAAGACATCATTTGAGTTTCTGTGTGTGTGTGTGTGCGTGTGTGTCTTAGAGATCAAAGAAACACAATTAGCCTAAGACATTTCTTTCAACAAATTCTGAATCCCTTGTTTATATTGCAACTGTGCTTTCATTTGCCCTCCTCCCCTATCCTTTGGAATGGTGTTGAGATAACTAATAAGGGAATAGATTGTATTTATGTTCATTGGAGAGGAAGGGATTATAAGAGATAAAGCAATCATACAATGGGGAATACACACTGCTCAAAAAAAATAAAGGGAACACTTAAACAACACAATGCAACTCCAAGTCAATCACACTTCTGTGAAATCAAACTGTCCACTTAGTTAGCAACACTGATTGACAATCAATTTCACATGCTGTTGTGCAAATGGAATAGACAACAGGTGGAAAGCAGAGGCAGTTAGCAAGACATCCCCGATAAAGGAGTGGTTCTGCAGGTGGTGACCACAGACCACTTCTCAGTTCCTATGCTTTCTGGCTGATGGTTTGGTCACTTTTGAATGCTGGCGGTGCTTTCACTCTAGTGGTAGCATGAGACGGAGTCTACAACCCACACGTGGCTCAGGTAGTGCAGCTCATCCAGGATGGCACATCAATGCAAGCTGAGGCAAGAAGGTTTGCTGTGTCTGTCAGCGTAGTGTCCAGAGCATGGAGGCGCTACCAGGAGACAGGCCAGTATATCAGGAGACGTGGAGGAGGCCGTAGGAGGTCAACAACCCAGCATCAGGACCGCTACCTCCACCTTTGTGCAAGGAGGGACAGGAAGAGCACTGCCAGAGCCCTGCAAAATGACCTCCAGAGGGCCACAAATGTGCATGTGGCTGCTCAAACGGCCAAAAACAGACTCCATGAGGGTGGTATGAGGGCCCGATGTCCACAGGTGGGGGTTGTGTTTACAGCCCAACACCGTGCAGGATGTTTGGCATTTGCCAGAGAACACCAAGATTGGCAAATTTGCCACTGGCGCCCTGTGCTCTTCACAGATGAAAGCAGGTTCACACTGAGCACATGTGACAGACGTGACAGGGTCTGGAGACGCCGTGGAGAACGTTCTGCCGCCTGCAACATCCTCCAGCATGACCGGTTTGGCAGTGGGTCAGTAATGGTGTGGGGTGGCATTTCTTTAGGGGGCCGCACAGCCCTCCATGTGCTCGCCAGAGGTAGCCTGACTGCCATTAGGTACTGAGATGAGATCCTCAGACCCCTTGTGAGACCATATGCTGGTGCGGTTGGCCCTGGGTTCCTCCTAGTGCACGACAATGCTAGACCTCATGTGGCTGGAGTATGTCAGCAGTTCCTGCAAGATGAAGGCATTGATGCTATGGACTGGCCTTCCCGTTCCCCAGACCTGAATCCAATTGGGCACACCTGGGACATCATGTCTCGCTCCATCCACCAACGCCACCTTGCACCACAGACTGTCCAGGAGTTGGGGGATGCTTTAGTCCAGGTGTGGGAGGAGATCCCTCAGAAGACCATCCACCACCTCATCAGGAGCATGCCCAGGCGTTGTAGGGAGGTTATACAGGCACGTGGAGGCCACACACACTACTGAGCCTCATTTTGACTTGTTTTAAGGACATTACATCAAAGTTGGATCAGCCTGTAGTGTTTTTTTCCACTTTAATTTTGAGTGTAACTCCAAATCCAGACCTCCATGGGTTGCTAAATTTGATTTCCATTGATAATTTTTGTGTGATTTTGTTGTCAGCACATTCAACTATGTAATGAACGAAGTATTTAATAAGAATATTTCATTCATTCAGATCTAGGATGTCTTATATTTGTGTTCCCTTTATTTTTTTTGAGCAGTGTACATTGAAAGCAATGCACTGATGCTAGCAACCATGAGAGTGCTGTGCAAACAGATGTATTTCCTACTCTGTGCCTGTGCTCTTTCTCTCTTGCAATCCCTTTCCTTCCAATCTCGGGTCTTTAGGGGAGGGAGGGGGAAAAAGGCAACAGATCAAGCACAGGACAATAAGTACTGTAATTGCGTTCACGTAACTGAAGCATTCCCTAAAGGTTCTAAATCGACAAAGTTATTTTTTTCACACCGCCGTAACTTAGAACAGTTCCGGAATGAGACAATCTATGAAGGAAATCTACTTGAATTGGATGAATTTCTCCCTCAAGAGGTACAACTAGTGAAGAATCAACTCTACCGAAGATTGCTTGTGCCTCTTGTGGCTGAATGGATGATACTTTCCGAAAACCACATGCCTGGAACTCATTCTCTGCCACTCTTAACTAATCCCACAATAGACATCCCAAGAACAAATGCCAGTTATATTTCAACCTGTTGCAAGATCTGATGTTTTTGTGTGAAGCCGTAGTCAGAGGCTTCCGTGTAATATATATCCAGGGTTTCCCTCAAAAGGCAGGAGGAGCCCAACTGTCAGGTTGCGACGACAGAACAACAAGCGATCACATGACAGGTAGATCACATGAATAAAAAAGGTAGAAAGCCCAGCCCTCTGCCAACATCCACGGGAAGAGTTTGGGAACTCAAGTGAAGTATGCCCTGTTTGGGGGGTAGGACTCACCTTAGTGACGGGATCAAACGTGTAGCTGCCTTGGGTGGGCGCCAGGCTCATATTAAGTACCGCTTTGGGCATATGAACGGTCACGACGATGCCTTCAATGGTCTTCCCCATGTTCTGTTTAGGCCCAAGGGTAACATCAAATTTTCCAGAAGGGGAATTCTCTTTGAAACTAATTGTATGTTTCACATACACAGGAATGGCCACCAAGCTAGAACAACAAGAGAAGTAGAGTCCCTAAACTATTCAGGAAGAATCACACACTCACTAATCATTATTTCAAAATGTTTATACGTTCAGGGTGGATTAAAATCGATGGTTTTTTTTTTTATTTAATTACAAAAAATGGATTTTTAACATTTTTCAAATTGGATTTCTTAAACTTTAAATCGGATTTTAATTTTTTTTTTTAAATCAAATTTATTTTAATCGAATGCTTTTGGAGTAAAAATCTACCTAAAGATAGTTTTCTATTTAAGATACATTCATACTTTAGTTTATTCAGCATGAAATGGAGCTTCGTTATGCAGCACGAGGCTGCGTATATACTGCATTTTGTATCGGGATAACTGGATGGGGCAACTGGATGGAGCTGAGCATTTACTGGCCGGATGCCCTTCCTGACAGCTATGTGGGGTTCGCAGCAGATATTTTCTTTTTGCACTCAAAAATATCCGCTGCTATCTAGGATCGAACTCACAGGCTCCTGATTGCGGGGCAAGAGCTCCACCTCTAGGCCACCAAGCGGCCCATTTAAGGCCTCAGAATAATCACCTAAAACAAAGTCCCCAAGTTATTTCGGTATATCTTGGATGTCCTCACGGGCTGTTTCCTGGTCTATGGACTTTAGCGCCAAGAACAATGTCTAAAAAAATGGCTCCAATGTAGAATGCAGGGAAAAGAAGGAGGAGGGCTCCAGCCCAGGACCATCTTCACCCCTAAAGGAGCCTTACATATATATTTGGCTCTTCCAACGAACTTACTTTTGCGAGCTGACTTTGTAGGAAATCAGTCTAAAGTTTCCATCGGGAGGAATGAAGGAAAGGACCCGTTCAGATTCCCAGCGCTTGAATCGAATGCAAGGGTGGAAGCTAACATCATCCAGGAGTCTTGGGTTCTACAGGAAGCAAAAATAGAAAACTTTTCCTCCACAATCTAATGTTTTGCCATAGGATGGAATACAACGGAACAGAATACATATGCAGTAAGACCGTGATGGTGAACCTATGGCATGCGTGCCACAGGTGGCACGCAGAGGCATTTGTGCCGGCACGCAAGCTGCAGGCACACTTATCTCACTGTGCATGTGCGCGCCTCACAGCTGATTTTCGGCTGGTCTGAGGTCTTTTTTGGCCTCCCAGAGGCTTGAGGAAGGGTTCTGCAGGCTTTGCAGGCCAGAAACTAGCCCCGTTTCATCACTTCCTGTTTCTCCGAAAATACCAGAAGTGACGAAATGGGTCTAGTTTTCGGCCTGCAGAAGCCTGCAGAAGCCTTCCTCAAGCCTCTGGGAGGCCAAAAAAGATCTCAAACTGGCCCAAAATCAGTTGTAAGGTGCAGTGCAGGTGGGGTTAGGTGGGTGGGGATTACACGTGCATGTGTAGGGGGCGTGCATTGCCTTCTGGGTGCTGGCACGCGAGTGTAAGCATGCAAGCACACGCACAATTTTTGGCGCAGGAGCCCAAAAAGGTTAGCCACCACTGCAGTAAGATGAGATTAGGCCTGCTGCTCTCCCCCCTAATGTTGTTCCTGCCATCTCAAGGACTGAAGTTCAGAAGGAATTTCTACTCCCATCTGAGGGAGCCCAAGCAGAGCTCGCGACAAATCAATCAAGAGGCTTCAATCTGAGAAAGAGGCTTCAAATAGGAACAACACTCAGTCCAGATTCTCCATTCATAGTGGGAAGGACAGGGTGGGGACAGTAGGACGGTCCTCTTTGCCCACTTATATTGGCCTATGCAACTCAAGGAAAACAAGACCAAAAGGAATGCAGTGGAGCTTACTCATAAACACACCCCTCCATTTATCTCCCTCATAATCAGCCCTGCCCAATTCCTCGAATTTCTTTTCAGTTCAATCATGACAGCAAACATGCTGAAAGAACACTTTCGACAAGGCAGAAGTCTGGCTTTGCAACCCAGTCCCAAGTCTAAAACTCTGCCCTCTGTGTCAAATGTCTGGAGATTCTCAGTCGTTTAGGTCAGTGGTCACCAACCAGTGGGCCGGGGAATCACTGGTGGTCCGTGAGAAAATTTTGGTGGTCTACAGAGAAATGTCACTCCCAAAGCAATTAATCCAGGTGGCGCAGAAACACAAAGCTGCGCTGGCATCCTCATTATACAAACAAATAGCCAGCCAGTTTTTACTTAGTTGAAACCAACGGGGCTTATTTCTGGGCTAACTTCTTGCACCAAAAGACAGCAGCCGGCCCCAAGTAAGAAGGCAAGCTGCCTTTAGGTAGCTATGCCAGTTAAATTAAGAGTAAGTTTAGCCGTTTGCAGAATGCAAAGGTTTTGCGCGAAGCCGGTCTTACAGTTTCGGAGAATTCAAGGGTTCTTTCACTTCCTATTGATCAGCACCTCTTCTGCACGGCTCCTCTGTTCGAAGACTGAGTCAAAACTGGGCATGCTCAGGCAAAGGAGGCGTGGCCAAAGATCTGACTGACTCAGTTTCTGAGCAGAAGAAGAGGAGTCAACTCATGCCATGGATTCTCGGTTCCGCACACCAGAGAAAGTAGAATTCCTGGGAGACTCGGGTTGAACTGATCAAAAATGCGGAGTGATTGAAATCCCGCACTGGGATGGGGACATTGATGCATGAATGGAAGTGAAGCAAAACTTTCTGCTCTGTGGCCATTAGGAAGACTTGAAATCACACACAGGGCGCTTTCCCCCTACAGTAGTGGTACAACAACTCCCATTTACCATGAAAGAAAGTGACAGATCTGGCATCCCTGAGAGCTTGACGCAAGCATCGATGACACCTTGGATTTCTGCAAAGACCGTGGAGCCTGTAGAAATAAATGAGAGATTATTTAGCGTAGTGCTTCAGGTGCTGGCCTAGAAACCAGGTGAGTTAAACAACTTAGATGAGGAAATAAAAGGGGAACTTATCAAATCTGCGGATGATACTAAGCTGGCAGGAATAGCTAACACTCTAGAACTGTGATGGCGAACCAATAGCACGCATGCCGGAAGTGGCATGCAGAGCCACTTCTGCCGGCACTTGAGAGGTCGCCCGGAAGAGCTCCACTGCGCATGTGTGTGTGTGTGCCCCCACCCGACAGCTGATTGTCAGGTATTCTGGCACGCATGTGCAGGGGGTGGAGGTGCGCGGGAGCTGCATGCACATGTGCAGAGATGCACGGCACGTGCAGAGGGGTTGTGCACACCTGCGCAGGGGGGCATGGGGCCCCCTGCATGCATTGCCTTCTGGGTGCTGGCATTCGAGTGCGTGTGCAATTTTCAGCACGGGAGCCCAAAAAGGTTAGCCACCACTGCCCTAGAAGACAGGCTCAAGATCCAGATGGATCTTGACAGACTAGAACCCTGGGCCCTATCTAACAAAATGAGATTCAGTGTAAAAAAAAAGGAAAGTCCTGCACTTAGCAAGAAAAACCAAAAGTAACACATGTAGACTGGGTGAAACCAGGCTCAACAGCAGTAACTGTGAGAGGGACCTTGGAGTCTTAGTGGACAACCAGCTCAATATGAGCCAACAGTATGCAGCGGCAGCCAAAGAAGCCAACACAATCCTCAGCACACCCCAACACCTGCCTTGCTGGCCCATTTCTTCTGCAGCTGGCAAGGCTGGCAAGGTTTTCCTGAAGGCCTCTGGAGCTGATAACAAAGCTCTGGATCGATCCAGAGGTCTGTTGTCAGCTGCAGAGGCCTTCAGGAAAGCCTTGCCAGCTGCAGAAGTAGTTTCTGAAGGCCCCTGACAGCAAAAAAGGAGGCCGGGGACGATGCACACAAGTGAGGTTAAGTCAGTGGATGACATCCCCCGAAAATAAGACCTGGTGCCTTTTTTGACGGCAAAAAAAATATGACAGGGCCTTATTTTCAGGAAAACACGGTAGGTTGTTTGCACTCCAGTGACAATTTCAAACTGGATTCTCAAATTACACACATACTATTACAAATTGAACTATTACTCTTCTCCCCGCCCCCCCCCCCACCCCCCAGGATAACATGTCCAAATCACCCTATACTTTAAGAATCACTGCTTTGCTTACTGTGTTGGAGTCCAGCTGAGAAAATCCATTTAAGTCTTAACTAAGGTGTTCCCAGATTCATTGAAAAACTGTACGCTGCAATAAATTTTCCTTCCCAGGGAGGAATCTGTTAAGCATATCTGACTTGGAGGCTTCGAGGCTGCCACGAAGGTTAAGAAAGCTATGACTCCCTCCCAGCTCTATCTGCAGGGGCCCTTTACCAGATTTGTCTATGATGGCATCAATTTCTTCAATCACGTCGAAGTAGGCCTCGTTATTTGTGTACTTCACTCCTGCTCTTCTCCAGGGAATGTTAGACAGCTGGCCGGTTGGAAGAGTGTCTCCCACGTTGCTGCTACCTTGGAAAGACAAAGAAACAGTCCATAAGAAGCAAATACTTTTCTTTAAAAAAAAAAAAAAAAGGCAGCGGTGGTAGCAGCAGCTGCAAAAAAACAGCAGACTTAAAAACTGCAAAAACAAGGCTGACTTTTTCCACTTTATTACCAGGGGAGGGAGGGGAGGAGACAAGGGAACTGATAAATATGTATCTGTTGCACATATACCGTTTCCTCGAAAACAGAAACTACCCTGAAAGTAAGACCTAGCTTGAGTTTTCTGCTGACCACCAAAATTTCCTCGTGGACCACTAGCGGTCCGTGGACCACCAGTTGGTAACCACTGCCTTAGTCCATCAGTTAATCTTAACAGAGGGCCACCAAGCTCTAGGTCTGGCTTACAAGCACAACCAGCAAATCCATACCTGGCTCTCAAATGTCACCTGCCGTTTGGACAGTGCAAGTTCACCCACTTGTTAAGTTACCAAATTGTTTATGGTCTGTAATCTTCCCAGAGTCACCCTATCGGGGGAGACGGGTGACAATACAGATGTAATGAATAAACTAGCTGGAAGCACTGGGAAGCTACCACAGTACCTGTGATGGAATTGACCACCGAGCGCAGGATGGTGGGCGGTTTAATGAGCTCCTTCAGTATATTGGATTCCGTTGCCAGGGGAAAACCATTGTCCAGCATTTCTTCAAGAAGCTCGTACACAATAACAACATTGTCTTTAATGGCAGTTTCGGAACATTCTCCAAAGTAATCCTAAATCCACAGAAAGAATGAAGAGAAGGTGGTTTATTCCAATTATTAGCTCTACCTGCACTTAAAAAAACAACAGGCTTCTGCTAGAAAAGACAGATTCTGTAATTTAACATCCATTCATCTATTCAGACAGCATGGGTTTTCCCCCATAGTTTATAAATCAGATGGGCTTTTCATCAGAAGGTGAGGAACATAATTATTTGGACACATGTTCAGTAGAGATCCATGGACAGAAATTATATGTATCCTGACGGGCAGTCAGTTACAACAAGCCCTTTCCTCAGTGCTGCAGCAGACTGCTGTTAAAAGTTTATAGCTACCTATAGCTATGGGGACACTCAGACTCCATCATATTGTCTGGTTAAGCCAGAGGTCTCCAAACTTGGCAACTTTTAAGACTTGTGGACTTCAACTCCCATAATTCTGGGAATTGAAGTCCACAAGTCCTAAAGTTGCCAAGTTTGGGGACCCCTGGGTTAAGACTAAAGTTGCTCAAAACCTTTAAAAATTAAGAAAGCATAAAAACCCAATGCACACCCATAACCCTTCTTATCTACATTTGTAGATAAGAGACCCTCAGTGGCGCAGTGGTTAGAGTGCAGTACTGCAAGCTATTCCCATTGCAATTTGGCAGATCGAATCCCACCAGGGTCAACGTTGACTCAGCCTTCCATCCTTCCAAGGTGGGTAAAATGAGGACCCAGATTGTTGGGGGCAATATCCTGACTCTGTAAACTGCTTTGAGAGGGCTGGAAAGCACTATGAAGCGGTATGTAAGTCTAAGTGCTATTGCTATTGTAACTTGAGTAATTTCTACTTGCTAACGTCACTCTTGGAGCATTCAGTAATGCAGTTTTGAAAGAAACAATTTTAGGGACAAAAATTCTATCTCCCTAAAATAGACCTGAAACCTCTTTGGCTTACGCTGATATTCAACAAATAACTTGAAAATAATTTGGTATGTTTGGCTGGAAGGAGAAAAAAATATCTAATCCTAAAACACTGATTCTTTGCAAGTTCCACTTTGGAAAAACTGAAAGTGAGGGACTGAATCGGGCTACTTCTATGGAGCAGGAGATCTGAAAGTCGCTAACCTTCCACCATTTCTGCTCCTTCCTCATGTGTTAAGTTTCCTCTTTTGCAAAGAATGGAAGCAAGAGGTTTAAAAATAGGACAGCAGGACTGGATTAGGTAACGTGAATGCTCCTCGTCCATATCTGTCATTCTGGAGATTTGCTGTCAACAAGGCGTGCTGAAATCTGAGTTCCTCAAGACAAAGTTATAGATAGATGTTCCATTCTGGAAATTTCAAGTTGTACTGGGAATTCTTACTGCAGTACTTAAAATTAGTTACGAGCCCCAAACTCCTAATGACCTCTTTTTTAAATATGAGTAGTCCTTCGTTTGTTCCAACGAAATTTCTACTGTTCTATGTGGCCATTATTACAATTTTATGGAACATGTTCTTAAAACTCAGATATCTTTTTCAGGAAAAAAAAAAAAAAAGCCTAACCCAGGTTTGGTGAACCTTTGCGGCACCAAGTGCCAAAATGGGAGCAGGCACACGTGTAGGTGTGCGCCGGAAACCGGAAGAGCAGCCGCCCAGTGCGCATGCATGCGCTGGGAAGATGATCTTCCGGTTTCCGGTATGCACACCCAACCATTCTGCATACAGCTGGTCTTCATGTGTGCATGCATGTCAGAAACCAGAAGGCCAAGTGGCCAATGCACATGTATGCGCCGGAATCCGGAAGATCATCTTCCCGGCATGCGCATGCACACTGGGCGGCTGTTCTTCCAGTTTCCAGCGCTCCCGCGCGTGTGAAGACCAGCACACCAGCACACAGGAACCTGGAAGAGCAACAGGTGATGGCTTACATGCCCAGAGAAATGGCTCTGTGTGCCATGTCCGGCACGCATGGCATAGGTTTGCCATCATGGGCCTAACCACTATGACAGACTGATACATGGAAATGATCCAGATGTCAACTAAAAAGATACTCCTTTGGTCTTTTTAGCTGCCAGAAAAAGAGAGTGGGGGATAACAGTGCATTCCTCAAGTGCCTAGTTAATCATCTTGGGAGCCCAAAGTTGTCGGAGCACGAGAATATTACTGGAGAGCATGAATGATGACTCTTGGCTATGGATGTGTCCCATTGGAGAATGTACATCCAGGGGGTGGGAGGAAGATCAGAGTCAAGGGGGAAATGAATGATGTATTTTAGTGTCGGCTGCACCCAGCTAACGCCAACATGGCCACTTCTAATAAATCAATTTTCTTTTCTCTGAGAGATGCGGCTAGAGACTTATGATTTGAATGGGGGTGGTTTGGTTGGGAGTCCTGACACCAGAACTTTCAAAAGTGCCTAGGCAGCCAGAGGTGAACTGCAGCTCAATTTCTCCCCTAAACCCACCCAACCCTTCTGCAGACCAACCTGGAAAGTGTCTGCTACGCGATGGAGGAATTCGATGACAAAAAGAGGGGGCACTTCCGTCTGTATGACAGACACAAAGAAGATTTTGTCTCGATAGATGCTGATGAGGAAGTGGTGAGGGGTGGGGATGACAGGAGGCACATTTTCCACGTCGGCTGCTCTTTCCTGAGCTTCAAAGAAATAGTCACAGACAGATTGGCAGACAACACTCTTCCAGTGCTTCTCCAAGAATATGTCCCCAGAAGAATTTATAAGAAACAGGCTGTGGATCATTTTCTGTTGGGAGGACATATGCACGGGCATTAGTGTAAAATTCAACCATTTTGTACTTTAGAGCTCTCGTCCCCCCCCTTGCTTTGTTACAATCACACTTTGGGAACTGAAAGGCACAATTGAAGCAACATCCTCCCCTGCCTTGTGTTAAATCCGATTTTTAAATCCACAATTTGCTGAAGAAACGATACCTGGCTCTGTTTGCAGACAGCAGGAAACTCAATGGATGAGCTCATTTATATACATTATGCTATAAAATGAACCAAACCTCAACAGTAAACTCTGAGCTGGAGATGAACCAGACCATGTACCAATTTATTTATTTTGAGAATTTAGGAGCCTCTGTGGCACAATGGTTACAGTGCAGTATTGCAAGCTACTTCTGAAGCCAGCTGCCTACAATTTGGCAGTTCAAATCCCACCAGGCTCAAGGTTGACTTAGCCTTCCATCCTTCCGAGGTGGGTATAATGAGGACCCAGGTTGTTGGGGTAATATGCTGACTCTGTAAACTGCTTAGAGAGGGCTGCAAAGCGGTATATAAGTCTAAGTGTTATTGCTGTTGCTATTATATTGCCGCCTATTTGCACATGGCACTCAAGGCGGCTTACCAAATATAAAACCTCATATAAAAACAATACAACTAATAAGAGTCATATAATGAATTAATATAATAAAATCACCCCCCGCCCTGGTGACAGCACCACACATGAGCCATTTAAAGGGCTCCATACCGCTCTGGGTTCCCCAGGCCCGCTGACAGAACCAGGTCTTCAGCGCCTTCTGGAAGAGTATTAGAGTGGGGGCCATTCTAATCTCTGGGGCAGAGGTGGTCTTCAGCAGGTTCTGACCGGTTCTGGAGAACCGGTAGTGTAAATTTTGAGTCGTTCAGGGAACCAGCAAATCCCATCTCTGACTGGCCCCGCCCCCATCTATTCTCTGCCTCCCATTGAGTCCCAGCTGATCGGCTGGGTCTTCTTTGGTTGCCCTGCACAGGAGAACAGAGCTGGAAAGCAGGCTAGTGGAGTGGGGAGGGAATGGGGATTTTGTAGTATCCTTCCCGTCATGCCCACCAAGCCACACTCCCAAGCCAAGCCACGCCCACAAAACTGGTAGTAAAAATTTTTGAATTCCACCATTGCTCTGTGGGGATGATGTTCCAGTGAGAGGGGGCCACCACGGAGAAGGCCCTTCCTCAATTCAGATGGAAAGTCAGCAATAGAAATAGATCAAAGCTATTTTACAAAAAAATGAAATTAAGCATTTTTAGTAAAATAGCTTTGAGCTAAGAGACTCAAGAAATGCCAACTGAGAACTTTAGTCTTTAGCTTAGAAGACAGATTTGCGCCTATCTGGATTTATCAATACAAATCCAACTGAATCACTTTTTGGCTTTGTAAATCATGGCTTATAGCTTAAAGTTGTGGGAACCCAGAATAATGCTGGAACTATGATGTATTTGACCCATGTCTTAATGTGCTATGAATGAAATCTACAGCTTGTTCCTCAAATTATGGTTAAAATAAACCACACTTTAGCATGATGTATACATTATCAAGCCCCTATCTTAACATCCTAAGTAATATCTTTCTGCTGGGCTGGGGTAGCAAGCAATCTATATTTATAACTACCTATAGTTATGTTTATCTAATTATTAACATTGCTATCCTTAGATCAACAGCAACAGATCCCATTACTCACTAACTAAGCTCTCTGCAGATTTCACAGCTACACAAAGAAAGTAACTGTTTGCAATGAATTGATTCATGAAGAGTGTAGCATTTGAAGAGAGGGAAAGAAGACCAATATTTAAGATCATCTAAGAAACGAAGTAAGTAATTAAAATGGAATAACTGGTAAAAAATAATTCTTAGACCTACTTCAGATATCAGATGTTAAATATTCCCGCTATTAAACCACAGACATGCCAAATACAGGTATGAGAAAGCACTATTATTACCAATGTTGTTCATTAGGGCCAATGAACCCAAATTTATTCCTAATTTTCTCCTATATACAGACATTTCTTATTCTTACTCTTCTATTTTACTTAGTTTTAGGCTTTTAGACTTTTTTAAAAAAAATTATTATCAAAAGTTGCTGAGGGACACTAGTTGTCAGCAGTATATAATTGCTGATAAGTAGTGTCTCTCAGCAACTTTTAATAATATTACAAACAGTTTAAAAGCCTAAAACTAAATTAGGCCTAAAATAATATTTAACCTGAATTTAAATCAGCAAGAGCCTGCTTGAGATATAAAGGCTTAGGGAGAAAAGAAAGGCTGAAAAAATATCAGAACAAGACTTTTTTAACCCAGGAATTTACTTTTTTAAAAAAAATCTGGAAAAATAAAAAACAACAACAAAGTATTCCCTTCCAGGATAAAATAGCAACAATAGTTTCATCCCTGTTACTTTTTTTTATACAAGATTTTTATCTTGAACAGTTTTTCTCAAAGTTGACAACTTTTAAGATGTGTGGCCATTGTGAAGGCCACATATTGTAAAGTTTTCAAGTTTGAGAGTCACCAATCTTGCACATTGAGAGGGCTAGAATTCTTGTAAACCAGTGACAGGTTGGCAATCTCTTATGGTGGGCACTGCCAGGTTTGAAGGAAATAAGACCTAAATTGTGTCTATTCTTGCTGTTTAGTTTCTCTGACTTTTCAAAGATGCCTTTGTGGATCTGCTCCTAACCAGGCTTTAAATTTAAAAGCTCCTATTTTTCTTTGGGACTGTGCTGGAAATATCCTCTCTGCCTTAAACTCACATTTTTCTTCAACTTGTCAAACGGAGAAACCTAAGAGATCTTTGAAGTTCACTTGATTTGCAATAAACTTTAAAACATTTTAAATTCAATTCAATTAATAAATGTGACTGTGGGCTATATTGCTTAAAGTAAAGCTATAGTTCAGTCAGGCAGTAATTACATTTACCAACTGAATATACACAGCATACTTTTATGAGTAATGCATACAACCACAGTGTATTTTCTTTAATAGCAAAGTGAACTTACATGAGTAGCGAGTCATTTGAAATGAGTACGGCATATACTGTATTACAATTTGTCTCCCTGAAATTTTTTATAAGAAGCAGAAAAAGATTCTACTTTTCTACTGCATGAAAATTAGTATGTGGGGAAAGCAAATTGATTCTCCAAGCTCTATCTGAAACTCAAAGACTTCAACAGTGGAAAGATAAACATACAGCTCAAATGATGTGCCTAGGTAGCAACGTTGCAAATGAATGACAATCAACATAGATTAGCAATGGATGATTATGGTGAAATATGGTTACCATTCACTGAAATACATATTTTTATATACGTATCTATAAATAGGCATACAATTTGTAGGGGTTTTTTTTTCTTTCTTCATAACTTTACGTAATGTTTTATCTTTTCTGTATTCAGTTAAAGGAGCAATTTTTTAAAAAAGGAAAGCAAAATATTTAATTCAGTTACATTTGGCCATTTACCTATTAGGGCAACAATTGGCAGATACACCAGTATTCCCCCTTGAAAACCAAACCGATTCTTAGAAATCTTAATTGATCTTTTGAGCGGATAATTATTTTTCTCCTGCATGGTCCAACCTCAACTGTTTTGTAATGGTCTGGCCCCATGGACTACTTAGTCCAAGACTTGTATTTACATAAAAAGTAAACTATAAACCATCATCTAAGCAAAGCACCTAGGGCCAGTCAGGAACATTTCATCCTAGCAACTATGTGAACTCACCCCCATTGTTTGTTACAAGTAGAGTTTCAGAGCCCTTCATATAATTCCCGCCCCCCCATAAAAAGGAGCTACTATTAGACGTACCCCAAGAAGAACCAAGGTATGATTAGCATTCATCTTTTATTGCAACTCTTTGGCAATTGGAAGACCATTCAAACAACTCCTCCTGCCCCATCTGGTTTAACAAGCCATGTTAACTGTGATTTTTTTAAATCCAACCGAAGAACAATTTTTGAACACGCTCTTGTCTGCACGCAGATTAGAAACAGGCAAGGCCTGGAGGAGGCACCAGATCGGTCTTAAAATGAACTGATATTGTCCAAAAGTCAACAGGACCAAATCAACCTATTCAAAAGCAGATCTCATATAAAGGGCAAGCTGGTTGGCCATTCTGTGGTTACTGAAGTAAAACAGAAAGTGCCAAGTTTACAGCCTAGCAATTGGTCTCCAGGAAGAGGAAACAAGAGGACAACTTAGGTGTGGAGACAATAACTTGGTTCTCAACACCAATAAGACCAAGGAGCTGATAGTGGATTACAGAAGGAACAGATCAGGCATCCAGCCCTTGCTTATCAATGGAGACTGAGTGGAGCAAGTGGCCAGTTTTAAGTTTCTGGGTGTTACCCTAAAAGAGGACCTGACCTGGGTCAAAAGGGCCCAGCAGAGATTATACTACCTGAGACTTCTCAAGAAACAACAACTGAATGAAAAACTGCTGGTGACCTTCTATCGCTGCACCATAGAGAGCATTTTAACATACTGCACTATGGTTTGCCAATTGCACAGGGGCAGGTAGGACGGCACTCCAGAGGGTTAACCTCATTGCCCAGAGGATCATGGGTTGCCCTCTTCCCTCTTTGGAAGAGCTTTATAGCTCCCGCTGCCTTAAGAAAGTTGAAAACATTCTCAAAGATCCATCTCATCCTGGGCACCCCCCCCTTTTTTTTATCTGGCAGACGGTACAGGATAATAAAAACAAATAGGACAAATAGGCTGAAAAACAGCTTCTATCCCAGGGCAGTAGCTCTGTTGAATTCTACTGTATAGTACAGTGAAGATGGTATTGAATTTCATTGTGCAATGTGCAGTGACAATAAACTAAACTAAATTCAGCCTGTAGTCCTTTGCCAAATCAGTGCTCAAATGGTCAAAGGTGATGGACAGCCAACAACCTGGGCTTCCAACCTGAGCAACAAGACTTTGTGGCTGTTTACTCAGATAAGTTTCAACTATGACACAATCCTAACGTGATCCACTGATGACTGG